AATATTACTAATAAGAAGTAGAAAATTGAATATGAAAAATGAACTTTATTCTTATAATGGGTGATAAAATAAAAGAAATGGATGACTTTATGATGTGGGGATGATGATATTTAGAAGGTGAAAAGTTTGATTTGTTGAAATGATGGAGACAATGATTGTGGTATAATTGATAGATAGAAGTCAACTACTATTGATACAGTGAGAAGCACTATAAAAAGTAATATATATGGCTGGAAATGAGAATAAAATGCAGGCATTATATGATAACTACTAAAAGAGAGAGGGAACTTTAAAGGCAGCATATATATCTTCTTAATAATCCATGTCTGCCAATGGAGATTATGATATTGCTTTATTAATTCATTTAATAATTCTACTTTATGGCACCCACTTAGGACACTTTCCTCTTCTCTACATTCAATGATTCAAGTAAAATCAATCCCCAAAACCAGTCATTCAACCTACCAACAACATTTTCACCAAAAAAAAAAAAATTAGTATCCATGATTAAACAATTCATTGTAAAAAGTTAATATTTTATTCAAAATATTATTATTATTATTATTATATCAACTTATTTTTAATTTAAAATTTTGTTTAGATATTGAAAATATGATGTATAGAACTTAGTTGAAATAGAAATTGATTACAATGTATTAGTTATGCAATCGAAAATATTAGTCTCTTACGAAAAATCTTCTTCTAAATGGATATTTAGATTAAAACTACGCAGATAAATAAATTGATAATGATTAACTAACCTAAAATGGCATGTGAGATTACGACATGCATTGCTTGATTCGAGATGTGGCGTAGAAAAACATTTACATATTTAATTAATTGATGTGCATCGTCATAACAATAATCAAAATAATTAATCAATGACATGCAAAGAACTGTTACAATATATGCGTATGCAGTGACACAATTAAGTAAATAAAATAATAAAGCGGAAACCTTATATTGTTGGTTCTGTCCGCTCATGAATTATGAAGGGAGATTAAGGACATTTTATATTATGCTTCTTAAAATTACACCGGTCATCAAATCGATAAATATATGAATTTAGATTTAAAAGTTTAACCAAAATTTAATGGACAATTAAATTAGAGTTAAACCGATTCAATAAAATAATGTATTTTAATAATATAATAATATATTAAACTTAAAATAAGATTATCATCTAATAACAATTCAAATATAATATAAATACTATTTAAAAAAGTATTACATAATAATAAGAATAATTTATAAAATATATAAAAAATAACATAAATAAACATATAATTAAATACTTGGAATACAAAGTAATTAGAGAAAAAAATTTGATGTTGCATCTAATTTAAAAATAATTTGAGAAAAAAAAATTATAACTAACTTGAAAATAATTAGAAAAAAATTATATATCATTTGAAAACAATTAAAAGAGAAAAATTATATCATATCTTCTATTGTATATAATTTTAAATTTTATAATTTTTTTTATTTCACTGACATAGTTATGAAATCAAAGGACAACTCACTACATTTAACATATTGTTCACTCATCAATATCAATTTTACTCTTAGTATCCAAGTTTAGAAATTATCATAATTTTAGAAAACCTCAATTTTAAAAAACCCTAATTTTAGAAAATCGCAAATTTAATTTTATGAAATATGTATTGAAAATTCTTCCAAAAATATTATTCCTTACATAATGATATCTCCAAAGTTGTTTTATCAAATTAATTTTTAAAATGAAGATATTGCGATTCTTAGATATTGTTGTATTTCTATAAATGGTTATAGTAATGATAATAATATGTAATGACGACAGCAAAGGTCGAAAGGAGACAATCAAAGTTAGTGAATAGTGGTGGCGATGACAGGTGTGAGAATTGTGTGTCTGTGTTAAACTAAAGAAATATATATATATATATATATATATATATATATATATATATATATGATAAAACCACATCATTTAGCCATTTAAAAAAAAAAAAGTTACCCCTTTACCGATCTGATTTCACCCGTTTATCCGATTATTTTATTATTTTATCATTCGTTCAATTTGTAGGGAGCTCCATACTAGTTCTTAATCCAATCGATTGAATAGACCGATTCAATATGATTTTGATAACCATGATTTATATAAACACTTATATCATAACATATAAGAGCTTCAAATAATAGACAATATCTTTCTACCATAATGGATAAGAACTCCAAAATAGATAATATCTCAAACATAAAAATTAATCCTAACAATATTATCATAACGAATATGAGATTAATCATTCTTATTTAGGTAGAAAACATATTTTCATAATGTTACTTTTTGAGTCATTCAAATATACGTTAATATTAGAGTTATAAATTATCCTTTACCTAGTAATTTTTAGTTGAAAATGATGTTTTATTATTTTATACAGTTAATTTGTATTTCATTTAAGAGGTTATCAATGTTTAACTCAAAAATATTAAAAAATAGTATCAAAGCTTGTTTTAAAAATAGTATCAAACTTACGGTAAAATCTTTAAAATTTTCCAGACAAGAATTTCAGGATCCCATTTGAAAATCTTTCTATATTAGTCTTTTTCAAAATACCTAATTATTATATTTCATAAAAAATAAATGAAAAAAACAAAATACAATATTCGTCAAACTTCCTTCCATCAAGTTTAGATCAATTTATTTCTAAAAATTATAATATAATTAATTTTGAAAAAATACGATTACTATTTAAATTATATTAAAAAAATTTATCATCAAGTTTTCAAAACAAAAGAAATGCTGTTTAAAATTTTCTTTAAAAAGATTGTTTCTTAGTCGATCACTTTTATTATTTTTAAAATGTTTGAATAAATTTATTTTAAAAAAAAAACTGAAGCAGAAAATGCATTTTTCGAAGTAATAACTGGAGGTTGATATAAAAAAAATAGATGTGACGAAGGAGAGATAATTTTAAAAATAGAAAGAAAAAAACTTGTATGAAAATCACTAAAAATAAATCACTTTTTTTAAGCACATACAAACAATTTACTATTTTCATGATAAATAAAAGTTTTTTCAATTAATTGACACAAATCAATAATCTAACTCGCTTAAAGTAGTTCCTCAAAATATTGAAGACTTATTTAAAATATTATCTCTTTAAAAGATCCTATACAGAGAAAAGAGATCTATTTATCTAAAAGATAAATATTTCTATTTATATAATATTGCCATATAAGTGGATTCATGCAATGTGTAGTTATGTGTGTTGGTGAGGGGTAGGACGTAGGGTGATGAATAATATGAAGCATATGATGGTGTAGGAAATGGATGTAGGGTAGGGTAGGGTGTTTGCTTAGGTCTCTATTCCAATTATGTGTCGCCAAGCAACGCGAGGTTCCCCAGTAGGAATGATACATTGTGGCAGGAAACATCTCAGACAAATGTTTCGCCTAATTTTCACAATAATATTGCTCCTCACATCACAGTGGCTTGCTAGGTATGCATGAATATGATGTTTCATCACTCCAAAAAATGGTGTACAAGCTAGCTAGCTACCATTGACTTGATTACTCAATCCCAAACACCTGATCAAATTATCAAATGAATCTAATGCCAAAGAATCCCATTCATTTAGTTGGGCCCATGAAGCTCTGAAACGTTATCATCATCCTCATCTCTACCATTTAACATGCTATACATGCAGTACTACACCATGTTATACATGCAGTACTACACCATGTTAACACTGTTTGCTTTCCTTCTCTAACACCTTTTCATTCATTTTGAACTGTTATTAATGTCAAATTATTAAGCAAGAACAACTGCTAGTGCCAAGTTATTCAATTTTATGTTTTCTTTAATTGCATAAGATAAGGTGTAGGAATTTGAAGGTAAACTGCATATTCATCGGGTTTGAGTCATGTCCAGCACCCTTTTTCTTCATTCCTCTCTGTTTATTTATTTGTTTTATTTTATTTCTTTTACCTTCAATCCACAGTTTTCTATTTTCCTTTTTTTCTCTCTCTTTAATTCATTATTGGTTGCTGCAGAAGTGTGGGAGCGAGAGAGAATCAAATTTGATTCATGCAATCAATAATCTGAGGCTAATAATTTAGCATAATATAGTTAATTATTGAAAATAAAAGGTTCTTCTTATTAGCTTTATATATATATATATATATATATATATATATATATATATATATATATATATATATATAAATGTTAAAATCAAACACAACGTATTTTAAAGGGTGCAAATTCCTTTTATTCAATCAACTCATGTTGATGTAATTCAAACCCATTCATTAATTTTATGAATATTCAGGTGCGTCCTTTGTCCAACGCATGTGGATTAATTTATTCCAATTTCTTTGCATGCCTTTAGCAAAATCCCTAGTTGCATTTTACTTTTTTCAAAGTGTCAATGCAAATTAGTATGAACAAATAGTAATAAATATTGAATAATTGAATAATAAAAGCAGAAGAAAACTAGGACAATCTTCATATTGGTCGTAGTGTTTGGAAAGTGTCACAATTCTGGTAGCTGTACCCATCAACTCATTAGTCCTGTTGTGTGTTGTCTTTCTTTCTGTATTGCAAACATTGGATGCTTTCTCTTTAGAGAAGAGGAAGAAGAGAATGTGTGAGGCTTCGTATGGCTAGGCCAGGTCTTCAACGTTGAACATTTGAAACCTCTCTCTGACTCTCACTACCCTTCTTAAATATTAATTATTAACTCTGCGTGGAAATTTAAACTAAACTAATTCTACTATATTTTAGTTTTAATCTTCTCTCCATGCTTTCATTTGACTTGTGTACATGGCTCTCTCTTTCTCTCTCTCACACAGTCTCTTCAATGATAAAATAATATTTTTTAAAAGTGTCCAAAACCAGGGTCTCTTATTTATAAGGCACAAGCACTACCCACCAAATCTTCATTCAGATTAGAAAGTGAGAGTTTGGATCCTCAGAGACAGATAGAGATTTTCCAGGGAATACTCAGAAAGAGAGGGAGATGGGAAGAGCTCCATGTTGTGACAAGGCAAGTGTTAAGAAAGGCCCATGGTCACCAGAAGAAGACACAAAGCTGAAGGAATACATAGAGAAGCATGGAACTGGAGGGAATTGGATTGCTCTTCCTCAGAAAGCTGGTAAGTGAACTAATGTTATGATTTTATCATGAAAAAAATGCTTAAAATGCGTTTTTCTGTGAGATCTCATATATTTGTTCACCCTCTTTCTTCAAAATATGTATAAGCAGGTCTTAAGAGATGTGGGAAAAGTTGCAGATTAAGATGGCTCAACTATCTCAGGCCCAACATTAAGCATGGAGATTTCTCAGATGAGGAAGACAGAATAATTTGCAGCCTCTATGTTAATATTGGAAGCAGGTATAACAGTTACCATAACATTTAATGATGCAACACCACACTATCAATGGTGCTGAACAGTTATTTTTACCATTTCTTGACCAATCTAATCTGAAATCAATGGCCTATATCAAGAATAATTATGACATCTTTTTCTTCTCTTTTTTTCCCTTTCATCGCATCCACCACTTGCTCCGGTGGAACACTGATAAAGTCTCTGTCAGTCTAGCTAAAAGAAGTATAATAAAGAGAAATGAGAGAAAAAGGGCAGCATAAACTAGTCCTTGTTCAAATTTTTTTCATTCTTTTTTTTTTTTCAGAAAACCGTTTTTGTTGTGTTCATAATCTGCCTAACACTTGGATAGCTGTTCCTCATGCATGCCAAGCTTAAATCCAACACTGACATCCACTATGTCTAATTAAGTAAGATACTGAGTAATCCTTGGTGGAAACTTGATAACATAACCCACTAGAATTGGTCTACTATGAGAGATTTGGTTTGAGTCATTTGTACCAAAACTTATCTTTTAATGTTGTGAGAAAGAGAAGAAAAATTTAGCTTAACTAGCTTTAATGTATTTATTAACAGGTGGTCAATTATAGCTGCTCAGTTACCAGGAAGGACTGATAATGATATCAAGAACTACTGGAACACCAAGTTGAAGAAAAAGCTCATGGGGTTGCTTCCTCTTTCTCATCACAGAAAACAACCTTCATTTCCATCCTCTACCCTTCAAAACCCTCCTCTCTCTCCTTCATCTCAACAACTGTACGGAGAGTACTGCACCTACATCCCAGTAACAACATCATCTTTCACAGGCATGGAACATCTTTCCCTTCCTTCAGCTAGTTATGCAAGCACAACACCCTCAGTTTCTCAACCCTTTTACCAAAACCACGATTCCATGGCTAGCGTTAGTCCAATGCAATGCCAATACCCTATCAGAGACAGCATGCTCATGTTTGGAAGCGAAGGAAGTTGCAGTTCCTCTGATGGAAGCTGCACTCAGGGAAGAGAAATGAAGCAAGAAGAATTCGGCTACCACAGCTACAACCATAACTTGCTGCTTAGCTACAACAATAACAACATTAACGATGCAGTTAAGTCATGTGGTGGAGGGTGCTTCAGTCAAACGCTAGCACCGTTGGATTATGATCTTGAGGATATTAAGCAATTGATCAGTAGCAGTAGCAGCAGCTTCAATATTAATGTTGATGAAAACAAGACAGAAGAGAAGGCGATGTACTACTACTAATAGTGACTGCAACTGATGATGACTGACTACTGGAAAAAGATATGATGATGGGGGAAGAAGGGGTATGTTGGTGTGGCAAATATTCAGAATATTGATGACATTTCTGGGGCTCTGCGTTCTTTGATTAAATGAACCATTTCTTGTTTTGACAGTACATGGTAAAAGTTTCTTTATATTTTGTGCATATCTTCTCGGAAGTGGTGATGATGATTACGAAGACGATGATTTTAGACTGCTGTTGAGTACATATTTATAAATATCTTCTTCTCTGTGCAAAAATTATTAAGTGATTCAATCTCTTTCTCTCCTTCCAAGTGCAACCTCCAATCAGATATATTAGTGGGTTAAGTACTAGTTATATATAAATATTGATCTTTGTCTTCTCGATGAAATGCATTATGTAGGCGTATGAGAATTTGTGATGTGTTATGTCAGAAACTGCATTATTGAGTTGAGCACTCCGTTGAAGAATCTTTTGCAAAGTAGTAGCAAAGTCTGAGTGAAGATGGCTACGTTTACAACGAAACCTCAAATTTCTTAGCATTAATAATAAAATGAAAGCGATGAAAGATGGGCAAGAAAAGAAAAGAAAGACCATGAGGGTAGGGAAATTTTGTTGTCTTGTGTGGAAGTGTGGGTGCTGGAGCTGTAACACACACTAACTTCAAATTATCGAATAAATTATTACTTCTTTTGAATAAGTTTCTTTCATTCAGTGTGACGACAAGAAAGGCGGCAAAAACCATGAATCTTATTTCCTATTCTTCCTGCGAAACAGAACCCATTGTTGAAAAATTCACCCTCCTTTTTTACTTTAGCTTATTTAAAACATATGCATGCATGCTTATTATTCTTTTTTCTTTTTTTCTTTCCTCAACTTTTAAATAGTAATAACATCAGAAGTTCTATTTTCCTGATGAATTATAGAATTTTATTTTATAAAATTCTGTTATTAGATTCTATTTTACTATATTTATTGATTTATATTTTTTGTCGTAACGTGTACTGTATTAAAAATTTTGATTAAAAATATATAAATTAATTTTGTAGAATTAAATTAGATTTTTAAAATTTTAAAAAAATTGTTATTAAATAATCATTAATTTTATATGAATTGATTTTATAAAATTAAGTTTATAATTTATTATTTTTAAAATTTTGCTTACAATTCCTTATTAAACAATTATATTTTTAATCTTTGTCATTTTGTTTTAATTTAGTTCTGACAAAACGATTATTAATTAGTTTTTTCATAACACTTATTCTAAACTGTGAGCTTAAGTTGTAATACGTTAAAGCATGTGCACCAAATGAAAAATATGTATCATACTTAGACATTGGAAACAAAATATTAATTTTTGTCCATGATAGTTTTTTTTTTCATATTTTACGTAAACTTTATGTCGATTATATGATATTATAAAAAAGCAATAGATGAGAGGTCCCAAATTAAAAACGATGGAGGAGGAATCAAATTGAAAAAACTTCTATAAATACTTGTTTGACCATATTATAAATATAAAACATTCATTAACTTTATTGATAAATATAGTAATTATGCTTATCAATGTCTATTTCCTTAATCACGTTTATTATTCCTTTATAAAACTTCACGTACCACTGAAAAAGGTAAAAGAAAAGTAAATGGAAAATTTATAAGGAGAGAGTAAAAACATATTTTAGTTGAATTTAATATTGGTATAAAGTGCAGCAAATAATATGTATCCTTTTGTTTCTGTGTCTGCCTATGAGATTAGGTGTATGAAGTGATTGATTTAGTATTTGAAGTATAATAATAATTTGAAAAATGAAAGGTGAAAGTAAGAAAAAAATTGAGATAATATATAGTGGAACAAAAAAGAAGGTATTAAATTTAAATGGACCCCATTCAAATGAACCCTCCCCTAGCTATTGCTATTCCTTTTGTTTTTAATATAGAAAGAAATGGAAGATAATCAGTCTCCACAAAAGTGCTAATATTTATATTATGGTATCATCTTTATAGGTTATGCATCGCTAACAACATATAGTATCATATACCATGAAAAGCACTTTCACAGAGAAAATATAACCTTTTGCAAACACAGCCCTAAGTATACGCCATATCTCCAGAATTGCTTCAGTGTTTAGAAACAATACAACTCCAAGATATTAAGGATTGTTTTTTTTTTTTAATTATTATTATTATATAGGGTGTGTTTGATAGTGAGAAAATAAAATGATAAAAAAATAAAAAAGAATATAAAATATTTTTTATTGTTTCTTAAGAAAGAGACATAAGAATTTGTTTTAAATAATAAATAATTAAATATTTATTCAATTATAAAATTACATATATAATTATTCATTAATCTTTAATTAATAAAATAAAAAATTTAAATATCATTTTTAAATTAATATCTATTTTTCAATATTATCTACTTTGATATATAATTATAAAATATTTTTATTATAATATTATTTTTTCTAACAATTTTAAACTTAAATTAAGAAAATAATATTATATTACAAACAAATAAAAAATTATTAAATTATTTATTTGATTTTTATAATCACTTTTATATTTATAATATTTTATTAAAATAATTATATATATATATATTAAAATTATAAATATAAAAATAATATTTTATTTAAATGTAAAATAATATTTATCTTATATTTTCAACTCTTTTCGATTGTATATAAGTGAAAATTATAGTAAAAAATAATTTTATTTTATCATTTTCTTTATTATAATTTTTTTTTTCATTAGTTTCCTTACAGTAGTCAGTTTACACTTTATCTGTGATCGATTGCAACCACATGATAATTGGTCAGTTTTACTGAGATTTTTTTCTTCAATCATAGTTGTTTATATTCATGATGTTAATTTATAAATATACTTAGGTTTAGTACTAATAATAACCTGTTATAGAAGTTTAGGGCTTGTGTAAAAAGAAGTGATTTGTGTATAAAATAATTTAGTGATTTATAAATAATAATAATCATAATAATAATAATAATAATAATAATAATAATAATAATAATAATAATAATAAAGATAGAGGTTGGTTTTGGTTGTAATTATAACAAAAGTTTTTACTGTTTTCAACTTCTTATTGAAAATTTTGTGACAAATACAAAATCAAAAAGAAGTCTCTTTTAAAAAAATTATTTGATAAATAAACTTAAAAAAAAACTAGTTCTATGTCAATTTTAATTGTTTTAGTTAATTTATACTTTTATAAGCTATATTGATTTTTTTTAATAAGAAAATTTTAAAATATATTAATTTTATTAATAATTAATCTCTATAGAATAATATCATTTTCGGTGTTTTTTTTTTCAATTTTATTTTTTTAATTTATATTACTTAAACTCTAAATTTTATTTAAAAGATTTTAGTCATACGATATTAGACACGGTTGTCAAAATGGAATCTTAATCTAAATGAATCACTATTATTTATCTAATTCAATAATGTAAAGAGTATATATATATATATATATATAATTTTTTTAAAACTTTTTCTTATAATGGATATTATATTTATTTTAATACTTTTTGTCATTTTTTTTTCTTTTCCTATTTTCATATTTTTATCTTTCTTCTCTTATCTTTTCATTTTTTTACTTTAATTTTTTTATCAGACACTCATTTTATCTTTTCCTATTTTTATCACTCACTCATCTCAATTTTTTTCATATTTTTATTTTTTATTTTATCACTCACTCACTTTTAAATTCACTATCCTTTCACAATGTTATATTTTATTTTTATCATTCGTTCACTTTTGTATCTTCTCTTTCACATTTTCACTGTTTTTATCTTTTAAGACATTTACGAGTGGTAGCGTGTCTATTAGGCTTTCAAGTATATTTTTTATATTGAATATCCTATAACTAGTTCATTTTCTACATCGTTTAATTGTACATCGATTATGAAATTGATATAATATACATTAAACAATCAATACTAAAGATATTTTTCTAGTGATTTAATATAAGTTAGGTTTGCAATCAATTATCCATGTTGTGATTGATTAAAAAAAATTACATGTCTGTAAAATAATTTATACAAAATTTAATTAAAAAATAAAATAAAAATTAAAAATACATTTTTTAAAATTTAAATTGTATTAGTAAAATTAGAGTTTAGGATTTAAGGATTAGGTTTTTATCCAAACAACTACCTCATCTCTCTTTTTATGTCTTCTCCATTTCTTACCCTTGTAAGTTGTAACCTAAACAAAACATGAAGAAAAGTATAAGGAAGATGGAAATAACAAAAACCAGAGAAACAACGTTGATAGGAATATGTTGGGTTATTCCAAAGACATCGGGGTTCGGGAATGCAGGAACAGCGTAAGATTGTAGAAACGACAAAAGAAGTGGAAAATGCAAGTCGTTTTATATTAACAGTAACAGGCTGTGTGGTGTGGTGGAATCCCCATTGGGAAGGCAATCGAAAAGGTTTGAAAAAAATATGATCCCCAAGATTTGTGTCAGACTTTCTTCTTCCTCAAATTTCAAATCAGATGCACAGTACTCACACTAATGCACTTTTCTTCACTCCATTCTCTCTTTTTTATCCTTCTTTTCCTCACCTTTCTATCACCCATCACACTATTTGTGACATGTTTAAACATAACTAACAGAATTCAATTAAAAATTATCTTTAATAAAATATTTGACAAAAACAAAATGAAATTTCAAGATGTTTAACTTAAAAATATACAAAATAAATTGAAAAAATAAATAAATCAAATAAGTGAAAATAACAATATCATAAACTTTTTATTACATTTTACTTAATGTATTTTATAATATATATACATATATATTATTGAATAAAAATAAATAATTATCATTAAATATATATATATATATATATATATATATATATATATATATGGGATGTGTATATTTTGAGTTGTGGAAAAAATAATAAAAGTTTTTTTACAGTAACTTTTTATAAAAGAAATGTCTATAAATATATACTTTGATGAAATTCTATAA